AGCCAAGAAAAATCAGACTCCTGCTCCCCCTGGCGTAAAATAAACGTTAAGTCACTTACCATGCCTGATCTCTGTTTCCGTCCCCTTTACCTGCAATAGTCTTCATTCAGAAACCCTGGATACGTCCTAAAGAACCCACAAGCTGGGTCTATACAAATCAGGGGGGGGGGGGGAGGGACAGAGAAAGGAATCAGTTTGCATGGGGAAAACCAGACTCGATACTAGTGATTCCCAACTGTTTTTTGGCCGTGTCCCACCTGAGCATCTCTAAAATCCTTGATGCCCTCCCCCCCGTGACATATAATTCTTACTATTCAAAAAGGGAACTCCTATTCACGCAGAGGAAGCCTAAAAGGCCATTAACTTGTTCTAAACTCATTCTCAAATTGCCTCCCTTAAAAATCAAATTGCCCCCCTGTGGGTGTGTGCCCCACGTTGGGAACCACAGCTCTATACAGTGAGGAGCTGAGTGAGAAACAATGAGGTTTTCCGGGCCTTTCAGGCAAAGCAAACAGAATTAAAACTCTGTAACCGGAAACTCCAAATTTCTGCCCCCGATATAAATATAATTTGCTGTTCTTATGGGGTTGGCCCTGGCTTAGACGGCGATGGTGATGCCAGCATTGCCAGAACAGGATAGGGAGAAATGGCAAAATAAATGAACATTTTCCCATTTATTTGCAAAGAGCCCCATTGGCAGTATAGATATAAAGCAGTATCCTGCTTTAAACCAACATAGCTTCCCCAAAAGAATCCTGGGAACTGCAGTTTGTTAAAGGTCCTGAGAGTTGCAAGGAGACCCTCCTTTCCTTGGAAGTGCTACGATTTCCGGAGTTCCATGGGAATACGGGCTGGTTGTTAAACCACTCTGCTCCATGAGGGGGAATAGGGGCCTCCTAACAGCACCATAAAGGGACGCGGGTGGCGCAGTGGGTTAAACCACAGAGCCTAGGACTTGCCGATCAGAAGGTCAGGGGTTCGAATCCCCGTGACGGGGTGAGCTCCCGTTGCTCAGTCCCTGTTCCTGCCCACCTAGCAGTTCGAAAGCACATCAAAGTGCAAGTAGATAAATAGGTATCGCTCTGGCGGGAAGGTAAACGGCGTTTCTGTGCGCTGCTCTGGTTCGCCAGAAGCGGCTTAGTCATGCTGGCCACATGACCCATGTCTGCGGACAAACACCGGCTCCCTCGGCTAATAAAGCGAGATGAGCGCCGCAACCCCAGAGACGGCCACGACTGGACCTAATGGTCAGGGGTCCCTTTACCTTTACCAGCACCATTAACAAACTACAGCTCCCAGCATTCTGTTTTTGCTGTTGCATAACTCGGCACAAATGTATCAGGTGTTTGGAAAGGAATGCCGCCTTTTCATTTATCTATCATTATTTTTAAAGGGCAGTGTTTATTTATATTTTATAATTTTATATTTAGACCTTTTATTATTATTAAACAACTATCTGACTTTTAGAGGACATCTGAAGGCAGGCCTGTATAGGGAAGTTTTTAATATTTGACGTTTTACTGTGGTTTTATTATTTGTCAGAAGCCGCCTAGAGTAGCCCGGGCAACCCCCTGTCAGATAATAATAATAATAATAATAATGATAATTGTATTTTTAAATGAATATTTTGGATTGCTCTTTGCAAATCGCTTAGGGGTTTCTGTCAGGTAAAGCGGTATATAAATGTTGTACAATAAATAAGCCCTTCTCGTGTGGAGGCAGTTTGAAGAGGCCGCTCCCTTCATCGCCAAGACAACCCTGCTCACACTTCTTCCCCACACAATGCCAAGCAACAATGAAATGCTCACAATAGCCCCCACAGAAAAAACCCATTTATGGGTCTTTGCGCCCACACCACACATTTAAAGCACATGACTTGCCTATGCCAAAGAATCCTGGGAACTGTAGTTTGGAGAAGGCGCTGGCACTTGTGAGGGGGCAAATTACAGTTCCCAGACTTCTTTTGCGGGGGGGGGGAGTCTTGCGTTTTAAATGTACGGTGTGTGGATGCGACCGCAGGCATCCTTGGACACAACTGACCCCCCCCAAAAGCGACATCAGAAGCGCAGCAGAGCATCTTCACCTTCAGCAACCCCAGACTCACCACGACCAACATGGATGTTGCATCGCCAACCCCGTGTTCTTTCATGCCATCAAAAGCCAGCGACACCTCATGTCCCTTGTCCCCCACAAACGCACGCGGGGCCACACCGGTGGACATGTCAGCCTACCCCCCTCAGGGCTGGATTGAGACCTTTAGAGGCCCTAAGCGCTTTAAAAGACTTTGATGCCTCAGTATATGTCTAATTCAGCTGACGCGACCAACAAACATGTGAGCTTCAGTGGACTGAGTGGCGCTTTGCTAGTTGCCAGATTCTAATTTTGTTGTATTTCCAAGATTAACATTAATATCTATTTATTATTATTATCATCATCATCATCATGTATGTATATGGATGGGCGGGGTATAAAAAATAAAATAATAATTATTATTCTTTTTATTACGCAATTTTTTTCATTTATGTAGTAGGCTTTAAATTGCTGTGGTGGCCCCCTTCTCTTGACGCTTATTTTGATTCATGGCTGATCTAGCCGCCCGATCCCCATCTTTCTCACCGCAGATCCAAGCTATTTCTTCATGACGTTCCTATCCTACCTTTCCTCCAGGGATCCCATGGCGGTCTCCTTGATTCTCCCCTTCCCCATTTCACCCTCACAACAACCCTGCGAGGCAGGTTAGGTTGGGAGCCAGTGACAGGTCACCCCGTGTGCTTCATGGCTTCCCAGGGCCCGGTGGTGCAACACCCCAAGCCAGCACAAGCCATCCCCCCCCCAGCCCCATCTTCTAAATCTGTGCTTTCGGCTGCTGTGCAACAGGCTGAACTTTAATCAGGGAAAAAAGAGAGAGGAAGGCAGCAACCCACTTCAAGGCAGGATGGCATTTTCCACAACAACTAAAAACCCCAGGCGCCTTGTTCTGTGTTGCATTGCATCGCCATTCCAAGCAGAAACCCCCCTCCCTGGACCACACCGAAGGCCTGTCCATCCCAGTCTTTCAGGATCTGCCCAGCAAGCCGGGCCTCCCCTGTTTTGCGCGCCCAGCACCTGTGAGTCACAGGTACAGTGCCTCGGAACATGGAGGCTCGCTCGGTGCCCTGCCCGATCGCTGCCGATTGCGCACCCCCTTTTAGCGCCCTTCAAGCAAATGGCCACCTCCATTTCTGGATGGCAGCGAATGCCAGGTTCCCCGCCTGGAATCAAGGCAAAGCCATGCCTGGGGCAGCCCTACCTTGGCCACACACCAGCTTCCGCTTCCTCCCCTTGCCCTAGCAAACAAAGCCCCTCTTGCTCTCTTCCCATGGCAAAGCAACTCTGCATGCAGGCGTGCATGGTCGTGCAAGCAAGCAAGCAGCCCCTTTCGCCCCTTGCGCAGCGCGCTCTGCATCCATCACCCCCGGTCCCACCTTTCAGCCAGATCGCAGCGGAGATCTCCTCTCTCCAGCCAACCCAAAGGAAGGCCCGAAGCACACGATGCAGCCACGACCAATGGCAAAACCCCCTTGTTCCCGGTGCAAAAAACACACACACAAACCCCCGTGCACTACCTTTGTAGCCTAGAAAACTACTATTCCCATCATGCATCTGCGACGACGAGCTGCAAGGCTCCCAGCATGCATTGCTGGCCGGAGGAACTACACGTCCCAGCATGCCCTTGGGTTATTTTCTCCCTCTCGCCTGTGCAAAACTGTCCCGGGTTTTTTTTTTTTTCTCTTTTCAGATCTTTGAGCGTAGGCAAGCTGTGCATTTTCTAAAAACAATAACTCAAGTTCTGGCACTGGTTAGTAGCGCACGGAAATGGAACCTACCGGTTATTAACCCGCATCTGTTCCGGCGCGTTACAAAAATCTGGGACTTGAGCTGCTTTAAATTCAAAAACTGGGCTCTCTCTTCTGCAATGTTTGCTGTCCTTGCAGCGAAAACCATAGCTTGTTAGGGTAAAAAATAAAAAAATAAAAACTTTTGGCAAGGTAAATCTTAGGATCATTCAAGTTCTTTTTATTTGCACCCGCCTCCCCTCTCACTTAATTGCATGACTAGACAGTATTCTGGTGTCACAGCGCCATGGGTCTGTTTAACATAATGATACCGGCAGTTTTGTTCTCATTTCCTTTCCTAAAAATCCTTCACATGGAATTTGCCTTTTTCGCAGTTGCCACACACTGACCCCAGGAACTCTTTTTCTGACCGTTCGCCACCAGTTCAGCTTCTATTAGCATATACGTGAAGTTAATGCCCCAAGTGGCTGGGGCTGATAAGAGTTGCAGCGCAAACTTGTTAGGTGAAAGCTACCTTAAAACACCAACCAATTTATTTATTGTCCCCCCAACAAATATCCTAGCTATACCCATGGTCCATGCATACATTCCACCAGTGATCCTGCTCTGCATTGTTATGGATCCGTTGCTAATCCAGCTTTAAAGAGCAAGCAGACTCCTAGCTACTGGGTCAGGCTGTGATTGCTCAGTACTTGAATCTCATTACTACTGTATATAGAAATCTAATCACAAAGAAACAACCAACATTGAGCAAACCAAGAAATTCTTAAGGTTTGCTGAAAAATACTTGCTGAAGGGGCCTTACATCCTTCCCTGGGGAGGGAGTTTTGAACCTGGAATCACCGGGCTAAGCACTGTTAATTTGCCCAGGCATTTTAGGGATGACTGCTGTGAGGTTTTGTGCTGGTGATCTTAACAGTGCTCAAATTGATTTAGTGTGCATAGTGTTACTGTTTTAAAATTTTGTAACCCACCATGAGAACTGGATGGCAAGTGGTCCATTAATGACCAGAAATAAGTAATTAAGTGCGCCTCTGGCAAAGTCTGTGAAACTTGCATCAATACTTTCGTGCCCTGGTGTGATATTTTTCTGGGGTGGTGGGGCTGAGGTTGAGACAAGCCTAGATGGTGCAGTGGGGGGTGGGAAAACAGGCAAAACAGAGATTCAGAAAGTCACAAAGTTTAGTTTAATTCAACATTTATCAGTGATGTTATCATAAGGCATCAATGTACGTTTAAAAGGAATTTCCACCAGGGTTACATACATTCTCTCCGGGTGGGGGGGGGGGGGAGGACTGCAATAAAACAGAGGCCCAAGGCAGCCCAGGGTGCAAGGTGGGTGGGGGCAAGACTCTGCCAGGCTGGAACTGCTGTCAAGGGGGGGGGTGCATGCCAAGAGTGGCCAATTGTTTGCAATGTTTCAGGTGAGTGTGTGGAAAGGGAGGGAAACCCCCACCATATCCCCCACTAATTTTAACTAAATTTAATCTCTGTTGCGAGGGAGAGACGAGCTTGCTGTGACTTCAAGGTACCACAAATTAGGTGAAGCATCTTTCTGATGCCTGTAGTTCGTTATTGCTTTATCAAGCTTTGAGGCGAAACACTGATGCTGCCTGGAAATCAATTTAAAATCGAAGAATGGGTGAGGAGAACAGATATGTAAACAGCAAGCACCTACTATTTTTGTATGTTCAGACTGCTGCCTGAGATGCCTCCCTCCTGCCTGCAATATGAGTTGAACGTGGCTTCTCTTTTTCCAGAACGGGAGACATTAACCAATGTTCTTGTTGAAATGCGGTGGCCACGAGCGCAGGCAAAACCCATGGCTGCTCCCCACTACTTTGTGCAACAGACAGGGAAATGAGGAGGGGAATTGTGTGTGTCCAAAAACTGCAGAGGAATCACGACTGCAGGTCCCAAGGAAGAGTGTGCCACGTGTTCGCCAAGTGCATGGGGACAAGACATCTACGGCAGGGGGGAGGAAAACTCTTCGGGCTGAGAAAAGCAGTGACGTTTCAGCAAAGGGAGGGCCAGATACACGAAGTCACACACCCTTATCAGACAAAAACACACACGCTGAACATAGAGCAGCCTCCCCCCCCCACCTGCAATTTGCATTACCAAAAAACCCCAACCCAGTTCATTTCACAGATACTTTTTTGGTGATGCAAACTGTAGGTGCTGGGAGCCTGATACAGATCGGAGCCATGGTGTGGGAGGTCAAGGGCTTTTATCCCCCTTGGGTACGCTCCCCATCTGGACCAAGTCCCAGTGCCTGCAGTTTGCTGCTTTCTCCCTCCCTCCTGCAGCCAGCACAGAACTCAAGTAGGAGGAGGGCCAAAGAGGAGACGTTCAGGGAGCCTGATGGGAAGCCTCTGAGGTTTGCATCCATCCAACCCATGAATCAAAGGGTTCCCCATCTGTTCTTTACAGGATCACAGCAGCAAGCACCAGCATATTCTCGCCTACCATGAAGCGTTAAGCAGCCCTTCGGGCACACTCAACTCTCAAAAAGGCAAACAGAGTTAATTTAAAAACACACACACATTCCTATACTGCCTCCACCCCTGGAAGATATGGCAATTCCCAGCACCCTGTTTGGTTTTCGTTGGAAGCCTCTTTGTAGACCTATTTGTTCAATCCTCAGCTCTCTGCTTCTTGCAGAAAAAGGCGCTCAGAGAGAGATATTAAAAACACAGCCACTCCCACAGCAGGAAAACGTGACGCTGCACCATTTTGTCCACTTCCAGCCATCTTCTGAAAGATGCACCAATGCCTCTACATACGGTTGCCCTTCCATTCACTTTTGACAGACGGCAGTTCGGCTGGCTGGTCAGAAGGGCATTGCATAGTCAGTCTCTGTTTCTCTCTGCCTAATGGCCAGGAAGGAAAGGCTTTGCTGGTGGGCAGCATGGCTCTGATCTCAAGAGACGGCTTTGGAAGAAGCTGGCTTTCATATTCAACGGTTGCTTTCTCATCCAGAGAGAGAGAGAGAGAGACTTAAAAATGTCCTTAGCCAAGACACAGGCTGAACAGGACACAAAACATATCATTCTGCACTCAAAACCTAGCCTGTTTGTCCATTCCTATGACCATTGGGAAGCACCAACAGACCAGAGAGACAATCCGACAGAATCTTCACTTCTTCTGGCCTCCTTTAAAATGAGCAGAATTTGCACACTTAACAAATGTGGAAAGTTACCGCAGGATTGTGCCTGAGTTTGCCATTGCATCCCATTTGTTAATTTGCAAGATGAGTTGGGGATGCGAGTCATCCTTACCTGCTGCTTTCAGAGCTGCGTTCCAGACACTAATGAAGGATTTGCAGCGTAGTTTTAGGAAAACAGGCCCCTGGCCCCACTGCAGTTAGCTGAGTGGGTTTGGGTGTCAAACGTCCCGCAACGGAGAAAATCAGAAGTGAAATGAGGGAGGATTTCAAATCCACCCCCTGTCTCCTAGCCTTTAACGCTTGACCAGCTTGATGAAACCAAGGCATTGCTTGAAGGCATTGTTCTAAACCCGCCACCTCCTGAGTAACACAGTAAAAGAGCACAAAAACGGAACAGACTCCCCCATCACTCCTTTTCTGTTCTTTGCAGAACGCTGCCAAACCTTCAAATCTCCATGATCCTGATAGTGTTCCCCACTCCCTTTACTTCCTTGTCAGTGCACAGCCAGTGGCGACTTTGCCTCTCTGAAGGCCTGGAGGACACAGACCCTCCCAAGTGCCTGAGAGAGAATTCTTCCCGTTTGCAGTGGGGGAACATAAGTCGCCCTGGAATCCACATTCATGATGCATCAAGTCCCATAACAGTTCCCGCTTGCAGCTAGAAGGGGAGACATCCCTGATATCTGGCTGTGCCAACGAATTGGGCACCGGAAGGCACATTTGTGTGTGTAATGGGGGCGGGGGGAGCGACGACAAGAGATCCAATCTCCCCCCCAAGCTGTGGCACAGAGGGTCAGGAGGCAGCACTTGGTTCACGTTGCCCCTCGCCTGGCTGCTCCTCCACTTTCAAACGCCCGGCATGAGCTGGAGAGCTAAGCAGACACATTTACGTCCCTGAGAGAAATGGCACTGTGTGCAGCTTCTGGGGGTTTGTCCTCTACCACAGCAGCCAGAGGGTCTGCCATAACAGCTGCCGCATCCATGGCAAGGAGCGGGTTCAGGCCCTGCGTCAAGATCTGCTGAATGGTCTTCCGCAAGTTGGGGTGCAACTGGTTCTGGGTCTGGTAGAAAATGTCCAAGGCAAACGACTTCAGGGTGCCGGTGCAGAGGTCCTCGTACAATGGAATCGTGTACATCCGCGACATCTGCAATACAAATGGGACTCAGTGACTGCACAAAAATAAATACGCATTCTGGTTTAGAGCTAACAAGGAAAACTGATAGATTGGTGGTACTGCATAAGCCAGCCAAAAGACTGGCCTATTTATTATTATTATTTTTTATTATTATTAAAATTTGTATACCACCCTTCATCCAAAGATCACAGGGCAGTTCACAACATAAAAATACAAAATGGAACACAAAATACATAATGAAACAAAAACAAACCAATAACCCTCTCCCACAAAAACATTTTTATTATTGTGCAAACACATTATTCTTGTACCCTAGTAAAAGGGAAAGTACTAGAGAGCACAGCAGCAGATATGTTCTATGCAAATGAGACTATTTTATTATTTTGCTAATTATGCTGTTTCAAATGTGCCTTTTATATTTGACTTCACAGTTTTCTTTTGAAATGTTTAAGATAATTTTTGTTAACTTTGCTCTACTAAAGATGCATTCTGCAGTCGACCTCCTCTGCAGTGTTTTTTAAAAAAAATGTTTAGGATAATATTTTAAGTTTCCTGTGAATTGTGTTTGAATATTAATTGTATTTAACTGTATACTTTATATTCAACTTTCTTCAGTAATGTTTTACTCTGAATTGTTTTATTTGCTGTTTTAATGTAGGTTGTAAACTGTTTTGAGATTCCCCCCTTCATATAAAGCAGTATAGAAATGAAATTAATAATAATAATATATAATAATAATAATAGAGATTCAAAAGTGAAGATATAAATAGATTGGCTTCTTAAAATCTACTGAAACACCATGAGTTGAATCCAAGATACACTCAGACGCACTGAACTCTAAACAAAATAAAAAAATTCCTTCCATGCATGCACACAAAAGCTCATACCAATAACAAACTTAGTTGGTCTCTAAGGAGCTACTGGAAGGAATTTTTTTATTTTGTTTCTACTATGGCAGACCAACACGGCTACCTACCTGTAACTGAACTTTAAGTTAGAGACATCCATTAATTTCGTTGAGTCCTTCTTCTTGTTACACCCCCATCTCTTCTCATCTCTTATCCCTCCTCTCTCCTCCTGGGCGATGCTTCTTCGCACCTTTCCCACCCACATCCAAGCTTTTCCTCCACCTCTTGATTCCCTCCTCTGTGTAAAGCACCTCCTATGGATCAGGAAGTCTTGGTTTGGCTCTCAACCTTAAGAAGAGTTTGGATTTGATATCCCGCCTTTCACTCCCCTTCAGGAGTCTCAAAGCGGCTAACAATCTCCTTTCCCTTCCTCCCCCACAACAAACACTCTGTGAGGTGAGTGGGGCTGAGAGACTTCAAAGAAGTGTGACTGGCCCAAGGTCACCCAGCAGCTGCATGTGGAGGAGCGGAGACGCGAACCCGGTTCCCCAGATTACGTGACTACCGCTCTTAACCACTACACCACACTGGCTCCCTAAACTCGGCAGGCAGCCTTTGGCGAGCCACCCTCTCTCAGCATCAGTCCTCTGTCTGCGCTACAGGAAACATAATACTGACCTGCCTAACCTCATCCAGCCCACCAGTGAGTTCAGCCACCAGTTTCCACGTGCCGACAAACTGCACCACACACCTGATCCACACACTCGGTCCATCAGCAGGAGTTCCAGGGTTGTTTCATGCCCAAATCTCATGCCCCTGAGAGATGCAAGGTGTTTTTAATCTGGAAGTTAGTACCTGGTTTTCCAAGAAGCGCCGGACTTTGTGAAGATCGGGATGGTAGTCGTTGCGGACAATGATCTGTAGCCAGCGGATGCGAATCTCTGCGTTCATGCCGTCCAACTGAGCCGAGTAGCACTCAGAGAGCTTTGATATCACCTCTGAAGAGCACATAGGGAAACGTTCAGAAATGGAACCAGGAGGCCTGGCAATTCTCCAACCCAGAAGGGCTTCAGATCCTTGAGAAGGCTGAATTTGCAAACCTAATCCTAACCCAACCACACCTTAATGCGAAAAATGCCCCTAGATTTTGGTCTGCATCTGGCTTGCTCTGAAGTTTGTATGAGCAAAGGCAGCTAACATTCACTGCCATTCACAACATGGCCGCTTCAGCTCATATGGTGAGATGCTCTGAACAACACTAAGGAGGAAATGAAACTCACAGGGACATAGGAAGCTGCGGTGGATCGTGCAGGTCCACTGCTCCATCTAACTCAATACTGTCTGCACTGGCTGGCAGTGGTTCTCGAGGCACAGAGACCTTTCTCAGCTCTACCTGGAGATGCCAAAACCAGACCTGGAATTTTTTTGCATGCAAAACATGGGCTACCCTTCCAAACTGCAGTCCTACCCCCAAACTGGCTACAGGCATGCTGATCCCCGAGGTGAGTGTAACAGTTAGACCGGATCTTTGCAATTTATAAAAAATACATGCTTTTGCCATCTCTAGAGAATCCACAGCTGTGAAACACTGGCCAATTTGTTTCTCCAAATGGATGTGGCGAGATGCAGCGTCTTGCGACCATCTCTTTTGCTTAGGAGTTTGCAGTGTTTCCTTACTGGCTAATAAGCCACCTGGCTGTCAGAGTCTATTACTGATAACTCTGGAAGACCTGAATATTTATTATCTGGTTATTGAATTTCTATACCGCTTAATATATTAAAAGTATCTCTAAGCGGTGTACAAAGAGCTTAAACAACAACAGATGACTTAAATATTACAAAAATACAGTTACATATTAGAATGCTACATTAATACAAAGGGGTGTGTGTGTGTGTGTGTGTGTGTGTGTGTGTGTGTGTGTGTGAAGGGAGGGGGAGAGAGAGAGAGAGATCAATTCATTTTCCTTTTGACACACCCGCCTCCTCAGCCTCCGGGTTCTCACCCAGAGCCCAAACAAACACTCAGCAAGCCCACAAAAGTCTCACAACAAGAGTTCCTGGAAACAGCAAACATCACCCTAGTCTCCCACTCTTTATGGGAAGGCACAAGGCATGTGCTATGTCCTCAGGCTGCCCACAGCTATGTCCCATTCAGCTGCACTCGCTGATTGTTACAGTTTCAGGTACAGCAGGTTTGTCGCGTTTCCCAGGGGATCCTGTCCTCTCCTCCTCCAGCTCCATACTACTGGCTGGTCACTCATGCTCCCGTTTTACACTTAGGTCTGTCTCCCGTACAAACCTTTTACTCGCGACCTTCCAATTTTTCTGTCTGAGCTACATAGAGACTCAGATGCTCACCTGCCAGCTCAACGAAACTCACCTTCAGGCAACGGGGACCCGTCCAGCAGCCTGTCAAGGAAGAGCACGGTCTGGAACGTCCGCCATTCTGCGATATCAACGCTGCCAGCAGCAGCCACAGCATCCAGAGGCTCTGTAGTCCAGAGGCTGAAGAGCGTCTCCACGGGGCAGGTCAGACTGGATCCCTGAGATAAGTCTGGCTCAATTAAAGGAGGACCCGTCGCATTGAGCCAGCGTTCAAACTCTAGTCCTGCAACAGACACACAAACTGGAATCAGACAGGGAGCGGCCTGCACTTCTTTTCAGTCAGGTTTCTGTGAGCACTTGCAGCTATGTTATACTGGATCAGGCTGATAGCAGAACACTATCTGTACTGGTTGGCAGTAGTCCTTCAGCATCTCAGGCACAAATATTTCTTCAGTCCTGTCCCTGGGGATGTTTTTCGCTCGTGATACCAGTGTACCGTTCAGCAGAGAATGGTACTCACTAGAAAAGCTGTGGACTCTCCTTCATTGGAGGTTTTTAAGCCAAGGTTGGATGGCCATCTGTCTTAGACCCCTTAGTTGAGATTCTTGCATTGCAGGGGGTTGGACTAGATGTTCCTTGGGGTACCTTCCAACTCTACTGAAGGAATGATTGCCAGACGTGGAGCACACTTCCACCCGCAGAGAAGCCACAGGCTGTCTGACCACGTAACCTTTGGGTGTGGAGCACACTTTCACCCACAGACAAAGCCACAGCTGTCTGAATATCATGCCCTCTATCTAACCTTTGATCTCTTAGTGGTCTGCCGTGCCCTGTCTGTGAACTTTGTCTGCTTAGTCATACATTGTGCAAGGGGAAAATGATGCAGTGGAAACAGGTGCCAAAATAACTTTGTACCACCCCACGATCTCAGGATTGGAAGATGTGTAAAGGTCACAGTCCAAAATGTATCTGACTGGTTTTGCATATTGTGCTAATAAAAGGAGCCTCCCCAGAGCTGGCCGGCTGCTTGTCTTAGAGCATGCTTGCCAGCGTGCTTCTGCACAGCTCACCTGCAATACCAACTCCCACCTCATGCCTTCACTTCACTCTACGATTCTGTGATTCTATGAAACTGGGACCTTCAGAATGCAAGACATGTGCTCCACAACAAAGCAAAGCAACCAGAGCCAGGGCTTTTTCGGCTGTGGCTCCAATCTGGTGGAACGCTCTGTCACAAGAGACCAGGGCCCTGCGGGACTTGAAATCTTTCTGCAGGGCCTGCAAGACAGAGCTGTTCCACCAGGCCTTTGGCCAAGGCACAGCCTGACCCCCTCCTTTGATAATCCTCTTAGAACTCTAGCCCAATGGTTCCATTAATTTGATTTTGAATTGATTTTAGAATGAATTGAGTTTAGAATGCTGTGTTACTTTTATTGTTGTTAGCTGCTCTTGCCCGGCTTCGACTGGGGAGGGCGGGATATAAATAATAATAATAATAATAATAATAATAATAATTATTATTATTATTATTATTATTATTACAGACGACAAGTTCTTCCTGATGTTCTTGTAACTTGAAGCCATTGGTTCAAGTCCTACCCTCTGGAACAACATTAAGCAAGTTTGCTGCATCTTCCATATGGCAGCCCTTCAGATATTTGAAGATGGCTATCACATATCCTCCCAGTCTCCTCTTTTCCAGGTTAAACATCCCCAGCTCCTTCAACCGTTCTTAATCAGGCTTGGTTTCCAGACCCTTGGTTTCTCCCATTCCAGCCTCTTTACCACCTGACTGCCAAAGAGGCCCACACAAAGCACCACGACTGTGGAGCCGTCCCCTCTCTCTGTCCCTGTCTGAATGGCACAACAGCTGCTGCACTGCACACCCACGGAATGAAGTTGATGTTAGCGCAGAAGCTCCCAGAGTCATTTATTCTCACCGCGCTTCAACGAAAGCAAAAGCAGCCAATGTGTTCTTCTCTACCTGTTCTGCTCTCAATGCATTGTTCTTTCAGTTCTGGAAAGAAAGCCAGGAAGGAATCCAAGAGATCTTGGGCCACAACGCTAGTGAACTTGTACTTCTCGATGTAGGCCTGGAAGAGAGCCGGGAGAATGGGTCAAGGAGTTGGCAAGTTTCAGGGGAAAGAGAAAGACAGTTAAGTAGCAAAATCATATAAATAACGGGGAAGGAAGGGCAATAACGGAGAAGGCGAAGGGGGATGGAACAAGCATGCAGAGGAAAAAGTGAGATGCAACAGGTAAGGAAAGTCTATTTCCCACAGGAGACTGCATAGGGGAGAGAGACAGAGAGAGAGGGAGGGAGGGAGGGAGGGAGGGAGGGAGGGAGGGAGGAAGGAAGGAAGGAAGGAAGGAAGGAAGGACTTATGTAAACCCACATTACCACTAACACCCCAAATCATGAAACTCCTTCCTCCTAAAGATTCACTAAGGGACATTCATCTGTCACAAGAACTTCCTTTAAATTATTTGGCACTTCAATCCTTTAGGAAGGCCATGCTGAATGCAGAAATAAAATATATAATGCTCCAGAAAGTTGTTGGTATATTGGAGAGCAGGGATGCAACTGGCTTGCAAGACAGGCAGCATCTCTTGGCGTACGTGAACACAAGACTCAGGCTAACGGCAGAACGAGCCTGAAGCCAGGCCTGAGAAAACCAGTGGAGATTTATCTAGCATACATTGCCATGTCAGCTGCTTAGATCAGATTAGAACAGTATGCCCTGCTTTTCTATTAAAATATCACTCAGAGCAGCTTACAGTGAAAAACAAAAATACAATATAAGGATACTAAAATGAAAAAATCAACGTATTAATATTAAGAACAACAGTAATATATAGCCCCGTTCCTGCTCCTCTTGCTGCATCCAGCCCAGCAGTTTCTGGAGCTGAGACTCAGGACCCCTTAAGCATTGCCTCACTTTCCAGGCATCAACTCTTCACCTGAAGACCACCAGCACCAGCCTCTATGTTCTAACTGCTGCTTACTTGATCCCTTCCTTATCACTTGTGGCAATGGGGGGACAAACAGTGAAAGGGAGGTCTCTGGCAACATGTAGGCCACATTCTCAAGATGGGTGTTTGCCATGAAACCCCTTCTGTCTTGTCTTCCTTCTCCACTACCTCCCAACTCATTGCTTTGACCGGTCTTGAAAGACCTACACGGGCTCCCAGTACGTTTCCGAGCACAATTCAAAGTGTTGGTGCTGACCTTTAAAGCCCTAAACGGCCTCAGCCCAGTATACCTGAAGGAGCGTCTCCACCCCCATCGTTCTGCCCAGATACTGAGGTCCAGTGCCGAGGGCCTTCTGGTGGTTCCCTCGCTGCGAGAAGCCAAGTTACAGGGCACCAGGAAAAGGGCCTTCTCGGTAGTGGCACCCACCCTGTGGAATGCCCTCCTATCAGATGTCAAAGAGAAAAACAACTACCAGACTTTTATAAGACATCTGAAGGCAGCCCTGTTTAGGGAAGCTTTTAATGTTTAATAGACTATTGTATTTTAATATTCTGTTGGAAGCCGCCCAGAGTGGCTGGGGAAACCTAGCCAGATGGGTGGGGTATAAATAATAAATTATTATTATTATTATTATTATTATTATTATTATTATTATTATTGACTGAGTTGTTTTAACTGGGACCCTTTGCTGATCTATTTCACTGAGCGGTCTCCTGCAGAGGTATCCTCATCTAACAAACAGCTATTTTCAAGCCCTTGCTTAAAGCATGCCAACTGCCTCTCCTCCTCCTTTTCTAAAATTGACATCCCTCTCTTTCTCCTGGGTGTCTCAAAGGGAAATGCATACAGGCAAGAGTTTCACATACATGCACACGGACACACCCCGCCTCTGAAACCCAAGTTACTAACTCGAAGGAAGGCATCAAAGCGTGCTGGGTCTCCACAGAGCTGAGACAGGTAGTAAACAAAGCAGTAACCTTTCTCGTACGTGAAGAGGTTCATCAGATTGCTAGGATTCACACCTGTAAGAGTGAGGGATGGGGGATAGGCAAGGGGAGGGGAGGGAAGGAGAGAGAGAGAACACAGTAGTGTCTTGGTAAAGCTGCAAGCAAAAATGCCATCAGAAGCTTCCTTGGTCCACAGCTTTTTCCCCTCCTCCTCCTCAAATTACGGCTTTTAATGACTTATTTATACAGCTTCATCAGTGTCGATGGTGCTCCATAAAGTTTCAGAAGCAAAACATGAAACAGGCCCCTGCAACCCCACATGCCAAGAGTTTGCAATCTAGAGCAGAAAATGAAGAAGGCAAGAGAGAGAGGCATGAATCTGTGGTCTCAGCCACACTTCTTCAACCAGGCATTTGGTTGATTAGGATTCTATGGCTTTTAAAATCTGTTTTGGGGGGGTATTGGCTTGTTTTTGTTTTATTATGTATTTTATATTCTCATTTTCTGTTTTTCTGCTGTGAACCACCCTGGGATCTTGGAAAGGAAAGGAAAGGAAATCAGGAAGATCAACATTTTAACAAGGAATGGGGAAATTTTATAATTTATCTTAAAAACCATTGTAAACAGTTAAAATTGTTAGTAGGATTGGAATAACACTTGTAGTTTAATGGTGAATTTTGGACACAATGGAGAGGTAAAAGATTTGGATTATTCTAAAAGATGCAGGAGGAAATCAACAATAGGACCCACAAAGGGGAGGAGGGAAGTCCAGGAGATTCTTTGGAATCTTGTTTCTATGTCGTATGTTGGATATGTGACTGTAAAATTTTAATCTGAAAACCCCCCCACAAATAAATAAATTTATAAAAAGGAAAGGGAAGGAAAGGAAAATAAAAATAAAATAGCACCCTTGTACCACTTTCATAAGCGACGCGGGTGGCGCTGTGGGTTAAACCACAGAGCCTAGGGCTTGCTGATCACAAGGTCGGCGGTTCAAATCCCCACGATGGAGTGAGCTCCTGTTGTTCGGTCCCAGCTCCTGCCAACCTAGCAGTTCGAAAGCACGTCAAAGTGCAAGTAGATAAATAGGTACCGCTCCAGCGGGAAGGTAAACAGCGTTTCCGTGCGCTGCTCTGGTTCGCCAGAAGTGGCTTAGTCATGCTGGCCACATGACCCGGAAGCTGTACGCCGGTTCCCTCGGCCAATAAAGCGAGATGAGCGCCGCAACCCCAGTCGGTCACAACTGAACCTAATGGTCAGGGGTCCCTTTACCTTTACCACTTTCATAGTTTCCTCTAAAGGATCTTGGGTACTGCAGTTTGTTAAGGGTCTCCTAAGAATTCTCAGCACTCTTTACAAACTACAGTTTCCAGGGTCACTTGGGAGAAGCCACAGGTGTGAAAGTGGCATAAGAGTGCTTCCTGGAGGAAGCACAAGAAGAAGGGCCTCAGATGGTGATCACAGGGTCCGGGTTGGTTCATATGGGGAGAGGCGGTCCTTGAGGTATTACCATCAAGTTATCTAGCAGTTAGGCCTTAGTAATCTCCTGAGGTTCTTACAGTGCAATCCTACAGAGTTCAGTGGGGCTTAGGCTTACTGTCAGGCAGTAAGCACAATTCCAAGTGTTGGTGTTGACTTTTAAGGCCCTAAACTGCCTCGACCCAGCACACCTGAAGGAGCGTCTCCACCCCCATCGTTCTGCCTGGACGCTGAGGTCCAGTGCCGAGGGCCTTCTGGCAGTTCCCTCACTGCGAGAAGCAAAGCTACAGGGAACCAGGCAGAGGGCCTTCTCAGTAGTGGCACCTGCCCTGTGGAACGCCCTCCCAGCAGATGTCAAAGAGATAAACAACTACCGTATTTTTCGCTCTATAAGACACACTTTTTCCCTCCTAAAAAGTAAGAGGAAATGTGTGTGCATCTTATGGCGCGAATATAGGCTGCACAGCTATCCCAGAAGCCAGAACAGCAAGAGGGATCGCTGTGCAGATTTTTTTTTTCTTGTTTTCCTCCTCCAAAAACCAGGTGCGTCTTATGGTCTGGTGTCTTATGGAGCGAAAAATACGGTACCTGACATTTAGTAAAGGTAAAGGTACCCCTGCCCGTACGGGCCAGTCGTGACCGATTCTAGGGTTGTGCGCTCATCTCACTTAAGAGGCCAGGAGCCGGAGCCGTCCGAAGACACTTCCGGGTCACGTGGCCAGCGTGACGAAGCTGCACTGGTGAGCCAGCACCAGTGCCGCACACGGAAACGCCGTTTACCTTCCCGCTATAGAGCGGTACCTATTTATCTACTTGCACTTAGGGGTGCTTTCGAACTGCTAGGTGGGCAGGAGCTGGGACCAAACAACGGGAGCTCACCCCGCCGCGGGGATTCGAACCGCCGATCTTACGATCAGCAAGTCCTAGGCACTGAGGTTTTACCCATAGCGCCACCCGCATCCTGACATTTAGAAGACATCTGAAGGCAGCCCTGTTCAGGGAAGTTTTTAACATGTGACATTTTGATGTATTTTTAATCCTTGTTGGAAGCCGCCCAGAGTGGCTGGGGAAACCCAGCCAGATGGGCTGGGTACAAATAATAAATTATTACGATTAGTAGTAAGGATTGCAGCCTTATAGACCCTTCTGTAGTCAAAGAATGTAAAGAAGCAGGGAGATGAGAGAAAGAAGGGAACCCAGCAATGCAGGGGCGTGTTGTGGGACTGAAATCCAAAATAACCACCTCCATACTTTATCGCGAAAGCTCGTTGCCTGCCCCTAATTTAGAGCAGCATTTTGATAACAACTTCCACTGTGCTGTGATATTTCATGCTTGGCCTCTCTCTGCCACACTGAATTTGCTTTGTGGAACTGACCCAGGATGCAGCCACCTATTTCAGGCTTCAAGGGGTGGGATGAGATGACAGCCATGATAGCAGAAGCTCATGCTTAACAGGAAGCCAGAGATGGTCAGGGTGAGCCAGCCTGTTTTATAAAAGCCGAGACCCAGCCGGCTAATCTCAACGCAGGACATACCTGGCTCCAGCTTCACCTGAAGCTTGCTAACAGGGTTGTCCTCCCCAAGGAGCTTCATCTGCCTGTGGAGGGCATCAAGGCGGAAGGCAGTCTCCAGGCACGTAAAGGCAGCACCTGCACACAAAAACAAAATGTGTTGGTGCCTGAAGCCTGCAGCCCAAAATCTGGCTGTGCATTTAAAATATACATGTGGACTTCAGCTTCCCTTCCCGTTGCAGCTCCTAGCCACCTCTTTTCTCTGATCATTCTCTCTCCCAGTCCCTCCGGCCCTCTCACACACCTCCTGTGGCCTTCTGCTTTTGCCTTCCCTCCTCTGGACCGCTCCCAGTTCCAAACCCCATTTCCTAACCTCCCCGTGACCCACCCTATTAGGACTGCTCTCTTCACGGGACCTCACCATTCTGACTCAGTCCTTGCCACCGTCTGAACAGCTCACCCACTGGCAGACTGTCCCCACCCTTCTGTGACATCATGGAAGGCCACCCAAACACTACAAGAAGCTACATTGCCAAATTGCAAAACCCTTCAATCTTGGCATTATAATTAAGATTCAGGGAAAGAAATTAGTTCATTCAGCCTTACAACCATTTTACAGAGAAGGGGTGGGCATACTTCAGGTTTGTGGCATCTGCTTCCTCTGTTTTTCATTAAAACCCCAAGGGAACCCAACTGGAGCCAACTGCAAAATAGTGGGTAGGATACAGACTTGGAATCGGTGCAAGGTGCCTCTGAGCACACGCTTAGCCCAGGAATTTATATCCAGAACCTCAACTGAGCTCATAGTCCTTCCACACAAAAATCCGCTCCTGGTTTTCTCCCAAAGCTTTCTTTAGTTCAGCAGCCTAATTCTGATCTACTGCAGTTTGTCCAGACATCTACCAGTTGATTGCAATCAATCTTCTGCCCACAACTGCTGTGAAGTAGGTCACTGCTTCAGGAACTGGTGAAATGAAGGCCAAGAGCAAGCAGCTAATCTGAGATAAATGACCAGGTTGAAATCCTGGGCTTCCCAAGAAATGTCCAGTGTTCAGCAGAGAAGATGGGACAGGATCTCAAGGAAGCAGGTGATGGAATGGTGTAAACTTTAGGGCAGTCACCCTAAAGGCAATTTTAAATCAAGTTATGTGACAGCTGCTACCACATGTTGAGCTGTTCAAGTGCATCACATAAACTGGGACATTTTCTGCATGGAACTGGAAACCTTTTTGTGTATCAGTTAACCAAGAATCAAGCTGCAACCCACAATTCATCGACTCCAGAGTAGTCTCATTAAAATTCAGTTGTTTCCGTTTCAATCTCTCCTCTGATTTCCTATCTTATTTGTCTTCAGAGGTCAAGGTTGGGTATGATTAAAAGACTGTGAGAGCAGGATTCTTGGTTCGGTACATATAAATAGATGGAGGGGGGATTTTGCTTGATGCTACTGTTACATGTGTGCTGATGTACCATTTGATTAAACAGAAAGAAAAAAGGTTAACAGCAATTGTGAGATGATACAGGATTGCAAGACTCTGCAACCTGACTACCCTTCTAGAATTAACGTACCGAGACAAAATACTGAAGCAACTTTTTTTAAAGCTAGTTCCGGACTAGTTAAGCTTCTCTCTTCTTGCCCTTGGGATACTGCTTAAACAGCCCTCGTGTTAACTGTAAGGTTGCTATTGCACTTCACCAGATCTTAACCTATTATAGTATTTTTAAGAATGGATTCCAAATGTCACTGAATTTGTCCATGACAAGTCTGCGTTTATATGCAAGTTGTTCACACGTTGTAAGTTTGTGTAAGTCTTCAATCCAATCGTAGAAGGGAATTAGGGCTACTCTTGAGGCGGGATCTAAAACCCACTTCAAATACAGTGGTGCCCCGCAAGACGAATGCCTCGCAAGACGAAAAACTCGCTAGACGAAAGGGTTTTCCGTTTTTTGAGTCGTTCCGCAAGACGAATTTTCCTATGGGCTTGCTTCACAAGACGAAACGTCTTGCGAGTTCTTGAGAGTTTGTTTCCTTTTTCTTAAAGCCGCTAAGCCGTTAATAGCCGCTAAGCCGCTAATAGCCGCTAAGCCACTAATAGCCGTGCTTCGCAAGACGAAAAAACCGCAAGACGAAGAGACTTGTGGAACGAATTAATTTCGTCTTGCGAGGCACCACTGTAATGGTTTCAGATCTTGATTAAATAATGATGGCTTTTGCCAAAGGACTGACAAACTGCTTTATGGACGTCGGGAGACGAAGGGGAAATTTGCTCCCGGGAGGGGAGGAGCCGTGGGGAGGTATCTTGAGCCTGGCTTCCAATTTGTTGAGAACGGTTATTTGGGAAGTATCAGGAGCTCCAAAAGATCTAGAGCGCCAGGATTGCAGCTCCCTGATGCTTGGTTAGAAACTGTAGATGCTATAAGAATGGCAGCTCTTGAGGGCCCCTGCTAACGGCACCCAGGTTGCTGAAACAAGCTCTTCTTTTCAAACTATGTAAACAAGGTCACGGAAGCGCCACCTACCCTGCCGCTTACCATAGGTCTCAGTGGTGATCCGGCGCTGAGCGTAAGTGGCCAGCCCCTCGCTCAGCCACATCTCTTCCCACGTGGCATTGGTGACGGCGTTGCCAAACCAGCTGTGGGCCACTTCATGGATGACATCGATGATGAGGAATTCGTCGCTCTCCAGGATGGAAGAGATTATGAAGGTGAGGCAGGGGTTCTCCATGGCGACAATGGGGAAAGAGGGAGGAAGGAAAACGATGTCGTACCTGGAAGGGGCAAGGAGGGGGCGGGGAGGACGCAGGTCACTCTCAGGACCTTGGAGCCATAATTCTCACAACTGTGAGGAAATGCATAGAGGAGTCCTCCTTCCCAGCAGTGGAGGACTTTGGGCTCTCAATTTCAGCAGCGCCCTGTGAGAGCCTCTCGAGCTCTGTTCTAAAGCATTGTTTTGGTGCCCCAGTGCGACCTCACCAATCACGCCACCCTAAAACTGCCTGTTCCCAGTCTCTCCTAGCCCATCTGTGCACTCTGGGTGCAGTGGGAGGAAAACTGCCATTTAAGCGGTAGGGTTGGCTGTATGTTACACATCCACCACTTCTCAAAGGAGCTGAGAGCGGAAAACCTGAGATTTTCCCATGTTATGGGGGTAGATTAAGACAGGGACAGGCTTTGTGCAGGGACTCAAGCCCTGTAACACACTGCACAAAATCAGTTCTGGAGTTCCTTTATAACGGCACACAATCCAATGGACTAGCCCCTTATTTATCACAGTCTTTCTACTTGCAGTAGGACAATGAAAGAATAATGCAGCCCTCCGCAGCTACGGCAATGCCTCCCCTCCCACATTCACCTGCCACCATTTAAGAAGGATGTTGACAAGCTGGAATGTGTGCAAAGGAGGGCAACCCAGATGATCAAGGGTCTGGAAACCAAGCCTGATGAGCAACAGTTGAGGGAATTGGGTATGTTTAGCCTGGTAAAGGGGAGACTGGGAGGAGATACGATAGCCATCTTCAAATATCTGAAGGGCTGACACATGGAAGATGGAGAAAACTTGTTTTCTGCTGCTATGGATGGTAGGACCCAACCCAATGGATTCAAGTTACAAGTAAGGAGATTCCGACTAAACATCGGGAAGAAATTTCTGGCAGTAAGAGCTTTTCAACAGTGGAATGGACTCCTTCAGAAAGTGGTGAGCTCTCCTGCTTTAGAGATTTTTAAGCAGAGATTGGATGGCCGTCTGTCATGGCTGCTTTCATTGAGATTCCTGCATTGCAGGGGGTTGGACTAGATGACCCTCAGGGCCCCTTCCACCTCTATAATTTTATTCTATGATTCTATGACTCCATGAAGAGCCTTGAACAATTGTTGTATTCTTGATTGAGGGAGGCTCATTATAACCGTTTGAAAAACCACCATTTAAAAGTCTAACATTTCACCCATTAGCCCTGGATTCTGATCCTTTTGCACTCTGTGTCAGAATGAGCCAGACAATTATTCCAAGTTTTCTGTGCAAGGAAACAGCGTGCTCACAATTTGTCAAAGCACCCTTAACTTCAGAATAAAACCCTTCCGGATGAGGCACCCATTGGATGCCTGATACCATTCTTGGTACCCAAGAGGTGCGGGTGGCAGGGTCGAAAAGAGGCCCTTGGAACTCCTGAATCACTGCCTCTACAGACACCTTCAATTTTATTCCAAAAGCGTGAATGCACCACACCTACCTTCCCCATATATAGGGCCCATAGAGGCTCTCTGCAGCGCTGAGCCAGCGCTCAACCCGACCCGAGAGTTTGCTGATAGCTGTTGACAGCAGGCATGGTTCCGCCCACACTTTGCTCCTGTTACAAAGACAGCAACAGTCAACGCACTGACTTCATGCTGGTTCCGCCATTCATATCATTCACTAGTGATTTTGGATCCCTGTTACGAAAACTAAAATAGACAATTGCAGACAATTTCAAGGTCTAAGTCAGGAGTTGTCAACCTGGTCCCTACCACCCAGTAGTGGGCATTTCAGGGTTCTAGGTGGGCGGTAGGGGGTTCTACGGCACAAGCTGAATCCTCCTTCCATCGAGCACCGGTGGGCAGCAAGGAAATTTAACCACCAAGAAAGATGCATTAGTGGGCAGTAGGATAAAAAGGTTGACTACCCCTGGTCTAAGTAAAGTTCCTGATTGATGATTAGGCAAAAACCACAAATATTTTTCTGGATATGGAGATGCCACACTGTGTGGCAGGTGTCTTGCGGCACAACCAGTCGGCAGTGTTCAAGCTGCACAGGTCTGATCTACAAGTGTGCAGTGTCCCATGTCACCAGGAACAGCTTTTCCTGATCCATCCGGCTCGATGACTTCCAAGCACAAGCCTTGCATTTACGCATTAGCCTGGTTGCCGCAGGTGAGCAAGGATTCCGTGCAGGCGAGCAAGCGGGCTGGTGGAGGAGGCATAGACTGCTCCATCCTTCCTTGATCAGTCCACTTGGTTTCTGTGACAGAAACCATGAGAAGGAAAGTCTATTCCTCCACCGCCAGCATGGAAATGCAACAGGCCAGAGGAAGGCACCTGGATCACTCTATCCCTTCTCCACCACTCTGCTCAGTAGAAAGCAGTTTTCTACTCTTCCACCACCAGCATGAAAATGCAGGCTAGTAAAAGAACAATGAAAACATACAGGCTAATGAACTTTGTGGGCGCATTTGAAAGGCTGCTAAAGCAGCTCCTCACAACGAGCACAGCTCAGGCAGACAAAAGTAGCTTACCTAGGACCAATGTCTGCAGGTACAAGGTCCCCTGCCACCAGTGCCACAAGGTAAGCAGGAATTGGGTATTCCATGTAGAACTGATAGGTGCCCTCTTCTTCCTCATAGGTGCTTTGGGTAGCACTCATCAACACTTGCATACCTGCAGGAGCCTGGGAAACAAGCAACGGGCTGTCAGGATGCTCTACGGGCCAAGAAGACTAATAGCTGGTTTGCACAACACTCAGTTGCCTAGTCTGCACATCCCAGCAAGCTAAACTGTGCCTTACCAGGACTGTGTGCAGAGTCCTGGAGAGAAGCAAGCAGCCACTTTGCTCTTCCCTGGTCCTTTTTGTTTTTCTTGTGCTGCGCTGAGCTAAGCCAAGGTTTGACTTGGCATGACATCCAAGCACAAGGAGGGCTGTAACTCAGGGGAAGAGCATCTGCTTTGCCTGCACAAGATCCCAGGTTCAATCCTTGGCGGCTCCAGGTAAGACTGGGGAAGGCTCCCTGTTTAAACCCTGGAGAGTCGCTGCCAGCCTGTGTTGACAATACTGAGTAGATAAACAAGGCAGCTTCCCTAGTTCCTATGGGGTGACGCTCGCTCCTCTCTAACCACAAACTGTAGCAAAGGTTTTTTTCTTGCCTAGTGCTTGCAGTTGGTAAGGAGACAGTTTAACTACAAGTCTGGGTTTGGACAACAGGCTAAGCCAAACCTGGGGTTAGTTCAGCCCAGTGCAGGAGCAAAACCAAAAAAGGAGTGGGGAGCGGCTGTGAGTTCTTCTCTGGGAACTCACATCTTCACCGCTGTTTGGTGACATGCAAACCAGGCAAATGTGCACGAAAAAAAATAGAAATTGCCCATGCAATCCAAATTCCTAAGATAAACAGAACTCTATATAAACTGTGAAAAATGAGCAGATTTCCATAATTTATCCAAGTCTGCATAACTTTTTGTTGCTCTGCTAGTCACTGGTAGGTCAAAAGAGCAGTAAAGGGCACTAAAGCCCCAGCTTGTACCATTGGGAAATCCTTCCTGCCAACCCTCTGGCATCTGAGATAACAACAACAACAAGAGATTAGACAGCCGGACAGCTTTTTCTAGGAAGGATATTCAAGAGGTGTGAGCAGTTATCAATTGAAGCAAGATGTCTCTGCCCTAGCCTGGGGTGAGAAGAAGGGGAGATTGTGATCCACTAATATACCAACTAGCCAGTTTCTCATGGACCAGTATTGTCAGCCTTTCAAAAAGGATGCTGAATCAGACTTCAATTTGAATGTCATGCAGCTACATTTGTGAGCCAGCGTTAATACTCAAAAGCATTTAACGCAAATTAGTTATGCCTTAAGAGAGCCTCAGTGTGTACTCTTGCTTTTTAAAATTTAAAGCACACCCGTGGAACGCAGGGGTTCTAGTAATACACAAAACAAAAAAGCAATCCCGCACATGTCTGAAGTCAGCTTAGCCTAATCCTCCAACCACTGTTCCAGTGAACAAGAAGAAGAAGAAGAAGAGTTTGGATTTGATATCCCGCCTTTCACTCCCTTTAAGGAGTCTCAAAGCGGCTAACATTCTCCTTTCCCTTCCTCCCCCACAACAAACACTCTGTGAGGTGAGTGGGGCTGAGAGACTTCAAAGAAGTGTGACTGGCCCAAGGTCACCCAGCAGCTGCAAGTGGAGGAGCGGAGACGTGAACCCGGTTCACCAGATTACGAGACTACTGCTCTTAACCACTACACCACACTGGCTCTCAGGAGACACAGATCAAGATCTCTTGTGCTGCTTGAAATGGATCAAGAGGTATAAAAGACAGTGGCTCATGGATGCCCAATGTTTATTACAGAGTCCAACTCCTGAAGAAAAAGAATCAGAGTTCTTTGGGAAGAGGGGGATGCTTAGAACCTGACTGCCTACCTGCACATGGCCTTCTGGCAACAGACCCAGCAGATAAAGGAAAAGTTGTTAGCCAAACACCCATCCCAAAAGTATTAATATGGTATAAGGGAAAGCACCAAACTTTTTTCCTGAGCAGGTCTGTTCAGACACATCCCAACATTCACAGAGCACAGCAACCTGAACGACTGTTTCTCCTCCCTAAGGAAACAGTGGTTTGTTACAGGCTTCCTCCTACCTATCAGAGCTTTAGGGCAGCAGCTGAAGAAGGAACAAAAAGGGTTTTCCTGTGTGAGTTTCTTGTGGCTGTTTAGCTGCTCTCTCTGGGCAAAGGTCAGAGGGGGCAGGGCTTCTGTTGAGGTAGGTGATTAGCTGTGGGAGGAGCTTATCAGAGCTTCAGGGCAGCGGCGCGCGCCTAGCGGCGCGCACAGTTTGATCCATATTTTAGATTTAGGGGAGCTAGTCTCAAACATTTGTTGGGGGAGACCTAGGTTTTTTGGGAGGGATTTATTTGTCCTGTCTCCACACTTTTTATGATAGAGGACCACTGTAGTCACCCCCAACGACACGTTCCCAAGATGGAGGGTGAGGGAACAGCTGCAGTCGCCTGTGGTTCCTGCGCAATGTTTGCCGTCTTGCCAAAGGTTGCAGGCAGCTTTACCTGCAGCAATTGCATGTTGATTGCCCTCTTAAAAGACAAAGTCCAGCAACTGGAGGAACGTGTAGCTACGCTCCAAAGAATTAGAGAGCTGGAACTCTTCTTGGAAGCAACAGAGCACACCGTCTCCACGAAGGAAGAGACAGGGGACTCCCCTGAGAAGGTGGCTAGCTCACCAACACAGGAGCCAGATATATGGAGAAACGTGACTCAAAGAAGTAGGAGGCCCAGGGTTCGCTCTGATTGTTTAGAAATACGCAATCGCTTTGAGGTCCTTTCCCCTAGCATGGAAGACGAAGAGCAGACTCCATTTGAGGATCTCTCCCTCATTACAGTCGATCAGGTATATGAAGACGAGGAGCAAAGGCAGTCCTCTGGGAATGTCCAGGCGACCTTGGAACCAACAGCTCACAGAAGAACCCCGACCAGACCTAAGAGGAGGCGTGTAGTGGTGATAGGGGATTCCCTACTGAGGGGAACAGAAGCAGTGATCTGTGGGCCTGACAAGATGTCTCGGGAAGTGTGCTGTCTCCCCGGGGCTAAGATCCAAGATGTAACTGAACGACTGCAAGGAATCATAAAACCCACTGACAAATACCCCTTCCTCTTGGTTCATGTGGGAACCAATGACACTGCAAGCAATAGCCTCCAGAAGATCAAAAGAGATTACGAGGCTCTGGGCAGGAAATTGAAGCAATTAAATGCACAAATTGTCATCTCATCTGTCCTCCCAGTTGAACGACGTGGCCCAGGGAGAGAGGGAAAAATAGTGGAAGTGAACAACTGGCTTCGCAAATGGTGCAAACAGGAACGGTTTGGATTCTTAGATCACGGAATGCAGTTTCTTGAAGATGGACTTCTGGCAAGCGATGGGCTGCACCTCACAACGGTTGGGAGGAATGTTTTTGCAAAAAATCTCAGAAACCTCATCAGGAGGGCTTTAAACTGACTAATGTGGGGGAGGGAGACAGTGCTCCTGAAGGTAGGAGTCTATCAATTGATGAAGATGATCATCCAAATGTCATAGACCGAATGGAGCAAAGAGCATGCAGACCTAGTGGTGGGAGGAGAAAATCCTTAAATAAGAGACACGGGGGAATGATTAATGGACTTCAATGTCTGTACACTAATGCGCAAAGCATGGGAAATAAACAAGATGAGCTTGAGCTCCTGGTACAGCAAACTAAATATGACATAATAGGAATCACTGAAACCTGGTGGGATAAATCCCACGATTGGAATGTAATAATGGAGGGATACAATCTATTTCAAAGAAACAGACCAGACAAGAAAGGAGGAGGAGTGGCGTTATATGTCAGGGATGTGTATACCTGTGAAGAGATCCAAGATTTAGAACCTCAAAGCCAAAGTGAGAGCATTTGGGTCAAAATTAAGGGAGAGAAGAATAACAGTGACCTCATTGTGGGAGTTTACTATAGATCCCCAAGCCAAACGGAGGACATAGATGATGCCTTCCTGGAACAGATGGCCAAGCATGCAAAAGGAAGGGAGATAGTAGTAATGAGGGACTTCAATTACCCGGATATTTGTTGGATGTCAAACTCAGCCAAGAGCATAAGGTCAAACAGATTCCTCACTGCCCTTGCAGACAACTTCATTGTCCAGAAAGTGGGAGAAGCAACAAGAGGAACAGCCATTTTAGATCTGGTCCTAACCAATGTTGATGACCTGGTTAGTGGGGTAGAAGTGGAAGGATCATTAGGCGCGAGTGATCATGCTCTTCTGAAGTTTACTATACAGCGGAAAGGAGCAGCCAAGCATACTAGGACTCAATTTCTCGACTTTAAGAAAGCCGACTTCATAAAGCTTAGGGAAGTGCTGGGTGAGATCCCATGGACAGTAATACTAAAAGGAAAGGGAGTTCAAGATGGCTGGGAGTTTGTTAAGAGGGAGATAGTAAAAGCACAACTTCAGGCAATACCAATGAGACGGAAACATGGAAGGTGCCTAAAGAAGCCAGGGTGGCTATCTAAAGAACTTTTAACTGAGTTAAGATTAAAAAAGGATGTGTACAAAAAATGGAAAAGGGGGGAAACCACCAAAGAGGAATTCAAACAAATAGCCAGCACGTGTAGACACAAAGTCAGAAAAGCTAAAGCACAAAATGAACTCAGGCTTGCTAGAGAGGTTAAAAGCAACAAAAAAGGCTTTTATGGGTATGTCCGTAGCAAAAGGAAGAACAAAGAAACAGTGGGGTCACTCAGAGGAGAAGATGGTGAAATGCAAACAGGGGACACAGAAAGGGCTGAACTCCTCAATGCCTTCTTTGCCTCAGTCTTCTCCGATAAAGAAAACAATGCCCGACCTGAAGAATTTGGAGCAAATGATTCAGCAGAGGAAACACAGCCCAGAATAACTAAGGAGATAGTACAAGAATACTTGGCTAGTCTAGATGTATTCAAGTCTCCAGGGCCAGATGAACTGCATCCAAGAGTATTAAAAGAACTGGCAGATGTGATTTCAGAACCACTGGCAGTCATCTTTGAGAATTCCTGGAGAACAGGCGAAGTCCCGGCAGACTGGAGGAGGGCAAATGTTGTCCCTATTTTCAAAAAGGGGAAAAGAGAGGACCCAAATAATTACCGCCCAGCCAGTCTGACATCAATACCAGGGAAGATTCTGGAGCAGATCATTAAGCAAACAGTCTGTGAGCACCTAGAAAGGAATGCTGTGATCACCAATAGTCAGCATGGATTTCTGAAAAATAAGTCATGTCAGACTAACCTGATCTCGTTTTTTGACAGAATTACAAGCCTGGTAGATGAAGGGAACGCAGTGGATGTAGTCTACCTTGATTTCAGCAAGGCATTTGACAAGGTGCCCCATGATATTCTTGTAAAGAAGCTGGTAAAATGTGGTCTTGACTATGCTACCACTCAGTGGATTTGTAACTGGCTGGCTGACCGAACCCAAAGGGTGCTCATCAATGGTTCCTCTTCATCCTGGAGAAGAGTGACTAGTGGGGTGCCACAGGGTTCTGTCTTGGGCCCGGTCTTATTCAACATCTTTATCAACGACTTGGATGATGGACTCAAGGGCATCCTGATCAAATTTGCAGATGACACCAAACTGGGAGGGGTGGCTAACACCCCAGAGGACAGGATCACACTTCAAAACGACCTTGACAGATTAGAGAACTGGGCCAAAACAAACAAGATGAATTTTAACAGGGAGAAATGTAAAGTATTGCACTTGGGCAAAAAAAATGAGAGGCACAAATACAAGATGGGTGACACCTGGCTTGAGAGCAGTACATGTGAAAAGGATCTAGGAGTCTTGGTTGACCACAAACTTGACATGAGCCAACAGTGTGACGCGGCAGCTAAAAAAGCCAATGCAATTCTGGGCCTCATCAATAGGAGTATAGCATCTAGATCAAGGGAAGTAATAGTGCCACTGTATTCTGCTCTGGTCAGACCTCACCTGGAGTACTGTGTCCAGTTCTGGGCACCACAGTTCAAGAAGGACACTGACAAACTGGAACGTGTCCAGAGGAGGGCAACCAAAATGGTCAAAGGCCTGGAAATGATGCCTTATGAGGAACGGCTAAGGGAGCTGGGCATGTTTAGCCTGGAGAAGAGGAGGTTAAGGGGTGATATGATAGCCATGTTCAAATATATAAAAGGATGTCACATAGAGGAGGGAGAAAGGTTGTTTTCTGCTGCTCCAGAGAAGCGGACACGGAGCAATGGATCCAAACTACAAGAAAGAAGATTCCACCTAAACATTAGGAAGAACTTCCTGACAGTAAGAGCTGTTCGACAGTGGAATTTGCTGCCAAGGAGTGTGGTGGAGTCTCCTTCTTTGGAGGTCTTTAAGCAGAGGCTTGACAACCATATGTCAGGAGTGCTCTGATGGTGTTTCCTGCTTGGCAGGGGGTTGGACTCGATGGCCCTTGTGGTCTCTTCCAACTCTATGATTCTATGATTCTATGATTCTACCTTGACGATGGCGGAGTAAGTACATTTCACAGCTGGCGTGTCAAAACAGGGGAAGAAGGAGCGGTTGCACACGGAATGGCCTTGCGTGAAGACAAATGGCTTGGCGTTGCCGTAGGTCAGCTCGGGATCCAGCCACCAGATCTAATGGAAGCAACAAGAAGGAATGTGTGAGAAATGACAGTAATAAAAACAACGGCCGTAAGGGAGCAGAGTATTTTTTAAAAGAGTGAGACGAGTTTCATTTTATTAAACTGCACATATCACTCATGAGGGAAGAGGAGAGGGAGGCAGACAAGCTGGCAAATACCCCACCCTGTGCCTGTCCATGAGTAAGCCAGACTGTGTCCTTTTCCACCACCAACATTGGCACAACCGTAGTGGAGGACCAACCAAATGCCCTGTTTGAAAGTGAACCAGGAGAGGCAGGCAAAGAAACCACCGCAGTTTATCCATGTTGAAAGCTGTCTAATTGTTAATAGTTAATTACTTTAGTCCATACCACTACTACTTAACACACCAGAAGGAATGGCTCCTCCCAGATGTACCTCATCACCACTTCAGATCACCAATTCTTTGCTCTAGGAAACTCAACTGCCTTGAGGAAACATACCAAATGCCATCTCTGCATGCTTTTTGCCAGCAAACTCAAGCATCAATTTTTGTTCAAGAAAGGTGTTTAAAATAATGCTGACAGATGCCCAAGCTGGTGTCATTTCCACATTGCTGCTGCTAGTTTTGAAGTACTGTTCTGTTTTTAACAGGTATTTTGTTTTAAATGTTTGATTCATGACTTCAGGCATTCTATCAAAAAGCCAGTCAAAGGCTGGCTGGTTTATTCCGAACAGGCTTCTTTGTCCCACACTTTCCCATCATGTGTGCTTGAAGGTTTCTCGTTTTATCTTCTCCCTGGTGCCATGCATCTGCTCTGATTTCACAAACCAGAATAATAGCAAGTCTCTCTATGCTTGATTTATAGCAAAGAAATAACTTCTCTGTGTAATTGCAGGCAAGGTTTCCTCCCCATGTGATTGTTCTTCTCAGCAACCCTGGCTCACCTGACCTTACCATAACTGGAATCCTCCGCACTGGACTAACCTCCACTGGCGGCATCACAATGTGTACAAGTGCCATTAGAAACAGAATTAAAATGCAATGCCAAAAACAGCAGCAGGACTTACATATATGCCTAATTTCTACATACACAGCAAGCCTTGCTCACAGTGAATCCAGATGACCCTTAGCCACGTGGTAACTTAACCTTTGCTTCTGCCGTCCAGATGTTTGGACTATTATTTATTATTTTTATTTATTAAATGTGTATACTGCCCCACACCCGTAGATCTCAGAGTGGTTCAACTATAACTCCCAGCAGCACAAGAACATAGGAAAAGCTCTCTTATACTAAGAATGGAAGCCCTTTTTGGACTATCTCAGGAAATATTATAGTTTGATGAACTCGCAAGCAGGATCTGAAATGTGAGCAACAGAAGGAATTAGATAATATAGTATTGATATATTGGTATAAGAAGGTACTGTGCAGCAAGCGGGGGACTGAAACACAATGGAAAATGGGGCGGGAAGTTGAGAAAAGTTAAAATTATTATGTATTGAAGTATATATGTCCAACTTTTGAAAATTCAATAAAAATTATTACAAAGGAAGCTACCTCATAGTGAACCAGGCCACTGGTCCACCTTGCTCAGTACTGCCCACACTGACTGGCAGCAGCTATAAAGGGTTTCAAGCAGGGGATGTTCCAGGCCATACCTGGAGATGCCAGCGACTGAACCTGAGACCTTCAGCATGCAAAGCAGATGGCCAGGCTGGCTGGAGGTGCTGAGAATTGTAGTTCCAAACATCTGGAGAGGACCAGGTTGGTAACTTTCCACAGTGTGCATGCAGTCAGCTGGCAGCCTGGTCATCTGTCCTACCCTGCCAAGTGGTGCAGAGAATCTGACTATATTCCTGCCATTAATCAGAAACCCAGAGGAACAGTTAAAGAGTTTCCTCACTTATCCAGACACCACAGATTAGCAGAGGGAAAGTACTGAAAAGGCTGCTGCTACCCCTCAGCTTCCAGCACCAAGCCTGTTGGCAGCCACATCATGGACCTGGCATCAAAGGAATTATGCATGGTCAAAAACACACTACATTTTACATTCTTTTTCTGATTCAATGATTAATCTTTCGGTTGGAAGAAATAATCCAGGAGTCGTCCCAAACTAGGTTGCCCAGGCTCCAGACACAGACACCCCCATATTAGATCAACCCTCTCTCTCTCTTGGCCCTCAATCATAGCTGCATGTTGGGCCAGCTGTGACATCGGCAGCCAGCTGACCAATCCCCTCTCTTCGCCCTCTCCCTATTTTTTAAAATTCCAAGCTCTAAACAGGACGGAGAGATTCAAGCATGCCATTCATTTAGCGGGCATCTAGCTAGTTCCAAAACATTTCGATCTCAAGGCTACAAGCCTATTTTTTATATATATTTGGACTTTTACGGTAAAGACAGTTCAAGCCTTCCTACAAATCTGCGCTTTACGCCGAACAGCATAAGGAGAAATTAAACGCTCATAAAATGTGTGCCTTGTTCACTTGGAAAGAACAGCAAGGGAGGAGTGCAGAGAAACAGAAGGAAATTAATCCAGAGCTGTGTCAACATTTCGAACGAAATGGCACAGAGGTCTCCAGCTGTCTTGACCACGGGCAGCCTTCCAAGAGGCAGCACAGAGAAAAGGCCTTTCCACTGCCCTCTTTTTAGAACCTGGTGGACAAGCATGGCTTGTTCCATTGTCATGAAAAGCACACAACAGTAAAGATAAGAAGTTCAATTGTCCGATTATCACAAAGAGAGAGAAAAAGATTTACGAGAAAAATACCAACCATTTATGGTTAGCTGCTCTCCTATAAGTGGGTTAAAGCCCTATTTTCTCGACCTCACCTATCAAACAGGGTGAAGAGGGAATGGAAAGGCCCTGAGGATTTGAAATAAGGATGGGGAAATCTAAGTAAATACTATATTGTCCAGCAGTTGATTTCAAACACATGGGAAGGAGCAAATAAATTCCAGCACAAAAAAGGATGATGGCCAAAGGCAACAGACTCTGTCATCCCAGGGAGGGGAGGGAACTGCCTCAAGAGTTAGCCTCAGCATTGTATAAGACCCAGTGCTTTGTTGTGGTGCACGATGCTATGGAGAGTGCTGGCCCCGTGCAACTAATCACCAAAGTATGTAAAAATAAAAAAGGGAATTATAGCTCTGCAACCCTCAAAGAGCCTTAGGCCACCCTACATCCACATGATCAGGAGACTGTTCCCTTTGAGACACTCTAGAACTGTGTCCAGCCCCATGTTTTGTTTGCCACATTGCTCTCATGGCAGTATATGCAGAAATTAATAAGGAACTGGGAGTGCACACCCCAAATTAAGCTTTGGGGCATCATATACCACACACCCACCTCCAGAAGAGTGGTATCTATGAGACACCAGAACATTGTGTCCACCTGGTGTCATTTCTGAGCAATTCACCGAAAAGTATACTAGATCTACATCGAGAACTGCCTGATATATGTGGAAATGAGTAAGAAACTAGGATTGTGCACCCTACAAAACCAAGAGACTATCACTTTCGGACTGCCCTAGCCTTATTTCCAACTCAACTCTTTCTTTTTGCAAAAGACACTGTTGGCCATGCTGCCCCATGCAAATCTTTGCAAATAAATATACAAATAAGGAACTGAGCTGCACAGCCCACAATAGGCTTGGGGCCACCACAAATCATACTCACCCAACCAGAGGACTGTCACCTTCAGGGTGCCCTAGCACTGCACCCAGCCCAGCAGTCAAGAGCATTGGGTCCACACTAATAATTGCCAATGCATGCAGAAATGATCCAGGAACTGGGGTTGCACATCTGGCACTAAGCTTTGGGGGTTGAATTAGAGGACTCTTCCAACTCTATAATTCTATGATATCAAGAAGACTATTTCATTTTGGTGGAAGGGACTGCCAAGTGTGCTTCTCTTAATTCCTTATTCTTCTTTTTTTATTGGCTATCATTTACATAGGAGCTGCCTGCCTGATCGTCTCTTGTAGCAGATACAACGTTAGGGTGACTCAAAGGCAATAGTCTCTTGCTTGCAGAAGTGCATAACCCTAGCTCCATATTTTCATATACGTTGGCCATTATTGGTGTGGGCACAGCCCAGCACGTGTGACGGTGTCTTGCACCAAAATGAAGCATCGATGTGGCGATTCAAAAGCAAGTCTCCTGGTTGTACCAGTGTGTGATTTTGTGTGGCCCACATCTGTTGGGTGCACGCCCCCAGCTCTTTATCCATTTCCCCTTATATACTGATAATAAATGGAATGGAGGAAATAACACTTCTCAGTATCCTGAGCCAAATCAAAGCACTGGGTAGCTGCAGTGCTAGGAGTGTCTCATAGAAGATACTCCCCTGGAGCTGCGGGTATAAGACTTATTATGGTAGCCCAAAGCTTTGTTTGGAATGCACAGCTCCAACGCCTTATTTGAAAGTAGGATTACCATGTGTTAAAAAGCACTGCACAAAATCAATGGCTTGATAGAGAAGAATTCTTGAGGGTCTTAAGGATCTAAAAGGGGAAAGTCACAGAAATATACAGCATCCCCCAAAGCTTATTTTGGGGTGCAGTGGAATGTAAGTCAATTGCTTACTGAAACTGCTCATCTAGCGTCGTTGCAAATTGTCTTGGGGAACTGGCAACTAGTCACCAACTCCAGTCCTGTTTGCAGTCCAGCTTTTCTAAAGAATCCTTTAAATTCTGGTTTCATGAGTGTGCTGAAAATTCTGTGCAGGGAGATCTCTAAACCCCCCTCACAGCATATCCAGGATTCTCTGGGGAGAGGGAATGACTCTTATTCCAAATCTCAGTCTCCTTGACTTAACCGACACATAGCTGTTTTCTTGACAGAAGCCTTGTGATGGTACCATCCGAGTGTCCTTGACAGCTGTTCCCCAATTCTGACCCTACCTTCTAGAAAGAATGTGGCAAGAATCAAAATCTGAACATCTTCTGGAAGTGATATAATATCATATATAATAGAGGACAGAGAAATAGGGAGCGGAGGCAACAGCTTTTAAAAATGTTATTCCATGAAAATGTTTTGTTATGCATGCAAGTTATTATCAGACACCTGTTAAGTATTTGGGGTGGGGGGAGTTGAGTTCATTACAAATGCCATGTTCATTGGAAAGGATAAGACAGTGTTAGCAGCTGTCACAAGGTGACCTGTAACAGATCAAGAGCAAACGATCGCTGGTTGGAGAGTGTGTGGGGGGGGGATTCAAGTGGATCCCTACCCCCACCTGTCCTACATGCCTACTTGCAGAGGAGACTTTCCAATATCTTAAACCAGTTGCATATGGTATCCAAACTGGGAAACTGTGCATTAAGGGCTCATTGGTCCTGGTTTGATATTCTGATATGAAGGGAGCCTTCAGACCAGTTTTCCAGCTCAGATGTCACAGGAAACTGTGGTTAAGAAACCAGAAATCTCCAATACAGTTGAGTGCACAAGAGGATGAGGGAAGCAGAGGGGAAAGGAGCAATTGAACTTTATTAATCATTTGTTCTTGGGTCAGCCCCATTACGTTTGATGCAGACCAATGTGGCATGACAGCTAACGTGATGGATTTGGAGGTAAACCTCAGAGAAGTCTTTTCACATATTTTTGCCTGCCACAAAACCCTTGCCTGTCGCATAGGACGCTAGAATGCATTCTAGGAAACACTGAATTAAGAGGAAGAACCTTTATGGCTCTCCAGGTTGTGTTGGCCTCCAGCTCCCATCAGCCCCAACCAGAAGGCCAATGGCCAAGAATGGCAGAAGTCATAATCTAATTATATATGGTAGACCAGTTTCCTGTCCCTGCTCTGGGACATACATCAATTGTTCTGGTTTTCTACATCTAACATGTTTTCCCCATCTAATGGTGTAGCTACCACTGTGGCAAAGTTCCACACTTGTAATGTATTTAAATGCATTTATTTTTTATTCTTTTTAGCAACTTGTCGCTCAAGTTATTTTTCTGCATCCCTTACTGTCAGTTTGCATTTCTTTTGCAATAATCTGCTTTCTTTTTCTTGTTCCCGTCACCTGGATAAGGCTTCAGTTTCCTTAAAGAAAGCTGGCCTTTATAACTTCCTTGACTCTGTTGTTTAACCACGCTGCTATCCTCTTAGACCTTGCAGCATCTTCCGTACTCCAGCTGAGCTGCTGTCAAAGGGCAACCAGCTCCAGATCTGCACAGCCTCCATGACCATCACCCCCACTGCAAGTTATCCCCTAAAATGACACCACGAGCACCACCCACCCACCCGAAAACACAATCTTTGGGGTTGCGCAGAGAAAGGGGCACTTACAGCGGGTGCATCAATGGTGGTGTAGCGGATGATGACCTGGAAGGGCTGGTGAGGCTCCAGGGAAGACGGTAAGGAGATGGTGAGGGCCGAACCGTAGTCCGTGAAGGGGTCCACCCTGAAGAAAAGTGGGCATGGGGCCACCGAGGCCGGCGCGGGGTCGTCGGGGAAGGTGGGAATAGGTGGAGGGGGCACCCCAGGCACGAGAGGAAAGTCGGAAAAGGAGCATGAAAAGTGGTTGATGGGGCTGGCCGGGGCAGCGAGGGGAGAGTGGGGGGCAGCCGCTGCACCCCTCAGGGCACCCTCGGGGTCCGGCGGAGGGGTCCCATCCTGAGAGCCAGGGGCAAGGGGGCAGTCTGGTGAAACCAGGAAGTCGGGGGGCCCTGCCACCGGGCAGCTGTGGTGGCAGCGGTGGGCGGCCAGGGGGTCTGCCGGGGGCCCAGGGCCCGCCAGCTCGGGGGCCAGGGGCGGCCCCAAGGCCGAAAGTGCGCTGGGGGTGCTGAGCGGGCAGTGCGGGTGGGGGTCGGAGAGGGGCGTGGGAGAGGGGCACCCCGTGGGCGGGGAAGGGCAGCGGGTCAAGAGGCGCCCGGGGGCCGGGTCGCTCCTCTCCGGGCCAGACAGCTCCGAGGAAGAGGAGGAGGAGGAGGAGGAGGAGGCGGGAGCGGGGTCCCAGGCGGGGCACCTCGGGGCGCCATCCCCGCCGCCGCCGCCGCCCCGGCTCTCCGCGCTGCCCGCCGAGGCGGCGTCGGGGAAGACGAAGCCGCAGCGTCCGCCGCCGGCCGGGGAAGGCCGGAAGGCGACCGAGGCGACCCGCAAGGCCGGGTGCGCGTCCAGCACCAGGGCCTGCCGGCGGCTCTGGCTACCGCTGCTGCCGGCTCGGCGTCCCCGCCGGGCGCACAGCTCCAGCACCGAGCAGCCGGCCAAGGCGCGGGCGTCGGGCCGCAAGTGCAGCCCCAGGCGGAGGTGCCGGAGGCGGAAGAGCGAGGAGCTGGAGGCCGAGGCCACGTCCGGGGGGCTCTCCGAGGCCGCCATGGGCGGAGGGCGCCGGGCGGAGAGAGGCGCGCGCGGCGGCGGCGGCGGCGGGCGGCCCAGGCGGCGGCTATGTGAAATCCATGGGCGGGAGGCGGCGGCGCGGCAGCGGCGGGAGGCTCGCGCAGGCCGCTCGGCAGCGCCAGGAAGAGGCTCGGCCCGGCCCGGCCTGGCCCTGCCCAGCGCCGGGGCCTGGCTGCCTGACGGACGGGCTGACTGGCTGCCGGGCTCGCGTGCGGCGCCTCGCCGAGGGTGCGGGGCCGTCGGCCGCCGGGAGGCGCCCGAGGGAAGCGGGAGGCGGCTCGGGGCCAGGAGGAGGCCGGCAGCGGCCAGCAGGGGGGAAGGGAGAGGAGGAGGAGCGGAGGCCGAGGCCTCGCCGTGTGGACGGCCACGGAGAGGATTCGGGTCGACCCTTAATATATTTCCCCCAGGCTAATTATTTCGTTTTCTCTTCTTTGGGAGACACATTGCACTGAAAAACAAAGCCAAGCAGAAGAGACTCTGCACATGCTCTGGGGCATTGTGTGTTGGCAGGGCGTTTCAAAAAAAAACACACACACACACACACACACGCACGTTAATTTTAAGTTTGAAATCCAAAAAATAGGTTAAACACACTCTTTGGGCAGAGCAGCTTTTCCCTTAGTACAGGGGTTTTCAAAACTTTTTTCTCTGGGCAAGTGATGCAGGTATATTTTTGTTTTGTAAACATGGGAGGAAATTCACACAGCTCTCCTGCCTTTCAGCTGGGTCACTTCCTGTGCGGAGAAGTGGTCCTTTTGGTACTTAGGCCCTGAGCCGTTTAGGCAAATCATTTTGCCTACTGAATCAGTATGCCTGCTTGTTAATAAGTTTTGTCTCCTTTATCTAATCTCAGGACACTGCAAATCAGAGTTTTGCATCCAGGTTATAAAGAGTAGACCTACTGAAATTACTGGTCCTGAATAAGTCATGGTCATTCATTTCAATGGGTCCACACTGGGTAGGGCTAATACTGGATACAAGCCAGTATAAAGATTTGTACCTACTAAAATCAAGAGCAAAAATGACCAAACATTCACAGAGCTGGGGTTTTTTGAAGTGTTCAGTTACAATAATGAATCATCTAATACAGGAAACCAGCCTGAATGACTTTTTCCTTGTTTTTGTTTCGGGAGCCTATTATTTCAGTTGTCAAGAGATATTTGCCAAGAAGCAAGCTGGTGTTCTGCTGAAAGCAGTATTTATAAGAGCCCTGTGGTAAAAATTCCCCTGCGACAATTGTTTTAACACGGAGTGGGGGCAGGGCTGCTTGTGCGCTGGATCCATCCCCTGGCCAAATTTCACCTAGCTCATGGCATCAAGTGCACATTCTTGTCTTGCCCTTTCCAGCCTTCCCCTTGGGAAAGTTGAGGTGGCGCAGGAGTGTTGGGTGCTGCTCAAAGGCGCCCAATAGCATATGCCCCCAACCACCCAACAGGTGAGGAGGCAAAGAAAGCTATCATACCTTTGCCTCTCCTCAGCTCTGGATTGGAGGAGCGGATTCCCTAAATGACTAGTGGCATGAGTAGGCCCCACTTAACTCAGTGAACTCTACTCCTGAGTAGACATGCATACAGCTGCTCAGCTTCTTTACTCCTGTGATAATTTGCTTTCTCAAACCATGCTGTTAACCAGTTAGCATAGAAATAAAGCTTGATCCTTAACTGCAAGGGCACCTTCCATCCTGGCATGGAACAGATTATTACTTTTGCAGAGCCAACAGAAACAACTGTCCTTCTTACCATATACATTGATACCTCTGGTTATGAACTTAATTCATTCTGGAGGTCCGTTCTTAACCTGAAACCGTTCTTAACCTGAGGTACCGCTTTAGCTAATGGGGCCTCCTGCTGCCACCGCCGTGCAATTTCTGTTCTCATCCTGGGGCAAGGTTCTTAACCCGAGGTACTACTTCCAGGTTAGCGGAGTTGGAACCCAAGGTGTTTGTAACCCGAGGTACCACTGTACAGTGTTGTTACTTACCGCTGTCCCAGCATGGCTTACTTTAAAACTACAAATGTGTTTGATGACATTTGTGCCCCGCCTTTGCTTAAGGAGTTCTGGGGTTCTCCCCTCCCCTCCCCTTTAGCCTTGCAACCACCCTGTGAAGCCGATTAGGCTGAGAGATAAGGGACTGGCCCACTCTCCCAATGAGCTGCATGGTGCAGTTTGGAGCACGGAGTCCTTAAATCTGGGTCTCCCATTCCTAGAGGCAAATACTTTAGCCGCAAAGAGACTCTGGCTCTTCCTTACACCTCTGCAGAAGGGATGCAGCTTTGTGTCCCCTTTACTACTTTGCACTGCAGTTGGGATGCAGTCAGTGCTTCTGAAGAAAGAGCTTCAGCTTGATGTACTAGGGGTGCTGATTTGTTCATGTAGCTGACACCCAGTGCTCCCCCTCCCCCCAGAAAAATAGGTGCTGTAGCCTTATTGGAGTTCACCGATTGGGTCTGCGTTGCTCCGGGACAGGAGGAAGGAAGTCAAAATGACACCGAGGTTGGTTCAAAGAAAGAGTTTATTCTGCTCTCCGGATAGCAGAAGGCACTTGCGTGATTAGTCCCGAGCAAGTCCAAAGAAATGACAGGTTTCATGCAGTTTATATATCCTCCAGGCACCCTCTCACTCCTCCCCTAGGAGCCCAACCACGTCGGCATACGTACACAGGTTGACATCACATATGTTCCTGCTCTGGTACTCTCAACCATAAAAGGATCTTCCTTCCTGTACTTCTGACCTTAAAAGGATATTCCTGTTCCTACTCCTATCTTGGAGCAAGAGGTCACTACTTCCGAGAACATGCTCTGGCGTTAGTCCCAGACTTGGGTCTCTGCGTCATTTGTGGCCAGGACATAAGATATGTCTGTGTCTGTTCTACTGGTAAAGTCAAGGCCAGTCTTGCCGTCAAACTGATAAGGGAGAGAGCTGTGTTCTTGTTTTGCATTTGCTCAACGGCTAAAGTTTATGCATTTTAGCTAAGGAGAAATGGGGATTTTGGTGCAGTTTAAAAACTGCCTGCACAGTCAGTTTTGGGGTTTGGGAAACCCATTCCTTCAGTGCCAGTACTCACCATGAGGTTGTTAGAGTATCACACTTTTTAACAACAACAAAAAGAGGTGCCCGTACTGCATACCCTTGAGTACCCCCTTTTTTAAAAAAGCACTGTTGGCACCAAGTATCGGCAGCAGCAGGGCAAACTCCATGTACTTTATTGCTGGGAAGATATCCACCGCGGCCCAAATAATAGAACGCACACAAGAGTTTTACAAAGCCCAAAATAGTTTTTATTCACTTTTTCAGATTTCTGTCTCAACAAGACAATTTGCAAACATGCTAAGGCTATAAAATGTCCAACTGGACCAAAGGAAAAAAAAGAGGAGAGGAAAAAAAAGACATGCAACGCTGACCCATTTTAAAATCACAGCTATTACAAGACTGACCATGCCCACCTGGGCTACTGGCCCCAGACAACAGGGATGGCGTACAGTAACCATGGTAACGTACCACACAGGACTCAGCACCTGAGGTAGGTCTCTTTACAGTAAGAAAATAAAATTTCCTACACCAGTGTTAAACCCTGATCAGCAGGAGCCTGCTAAAAATTGCAGTGGTGGTGGTGGGAGGGATAATTATAGTAACAAATATGCAGAAAATAAAAAGCTTGCACGCAGACAGAGTAGGGCAAAGAATTAATGGTTACAAACACCCAAGTATCTGAAAGCTTCCCAAGTGAAGTATTAGCGTATTTAGATCACTAGATCTATAATTCAGCAGAGGCCGCTTTGAAAACTTTTGCAGACAGCACCAGGGTATCAATCTGATGGTGGTTAATTGCTGTAGTTCATTAATGATGGATAGATGTGCTCAGCAAAGCAGAAGCAGTTTGCATTTCCTTTCTATAAAATATAAACCAAACTCTGCTGATAGAGAATGTGTATTCACATTCCCTTTATTGCACCAGAGCAAGTGGCAATCAGTTTTTCTTTAAAGGTACCTAATGCTAATGTGTGGTTCTTCCTCTCTTGCTACTGACAAAGCTCATTTATGAATCTCACAAGAGACACAAAGAAACCTGACCCCCACTGCAGGCGTGTTATAGGAAACAGCTGCCACTACTTCCATGTGCCCTAGCAATGTGCCAAAGAGCATGATAGGTCTGATGAAGCCAAGCCACATCAACAGAACCCATCTCTCCTCTGTGAAGGACAGTGACAACAGGACACAGGAGGAGACAAGGGCAATAGCCCACTTCCATCCAGAGATCTGGGAAATTCCAGTGCTAAGAGAAAACAGACTGCAGAAGACGAAACAGGGTCTAACGCAGCCTGAAAAAAGCCAGGTTCCCAGTACCGTAAAACTGTACAAAAATGATAGAAAAGAATATGCACTGGTATTAACACAGCGCTCATTTTAATATAAAATAAACAGCTTACATTTCCACTGTAAATATAGGCTATGTACAGAATTCTGTATAGATATAGCTACATGTATAAAGCTTCAATATAGGCCTCTTGATAAATTTATAATCATGGCTCCCTGAGCCATTTTGTAGAGTGCATTTAATAGCAAAAAACTAGTAACAAGAATATGGAATAAATACCATAATAAAAACCATAAAGAACCCTCCTTACAGTACTTTTTAGAAAAGAACTGAATCGTGACCCACAATGCTAAAAATTAAAAGATGAAAAGGCAATAATCTGCTTGGAGAACATGAAGACAGAGGAGTTCCTGCCACAGGCAGAAACTGTTACCCTCCCGATTAAAGTGACATTGCCCTGAATTTTAGCCCTTGACAGCAATCTTATTTTCTGCAGCAGCAAACATGGCATAGAAGCGAGAGTTCTCATTGGACAGGAGAACCGATGGAGTATCAAATTCCATCACCTGAAACAAAAATTAAGGGGGAGACCATTAGAGATACATGGAATGTATACCATCAAACCTTTCATTTACCAAAAAGAGTAACATTGAGTAACACGACAACATTAAAACAGGTAGCTGAAAAGGATAATCTAGTCCAGCCTTCCTCAACCTAGTCCCCTGCATATGTTTTGACTATAGCACCCATCAGCCCCACTCTGAAGGTTTAAAAAACTAGTTTTAAAGCACCCCAACAAAGAACCTGTTCAGATTTTCCTTAAAAGTCTCCAATTAAGGATATGAAACCACCTCTTTAAGGCAGTGTGTTTCATTGCTGAATAGCTCAGAGGTTTTAACATTTAAACCAGACTGAGATCTCTCCTAATTATGTGAG